GCCCCTGTAGTAACGTTTGAACTATAATTATTTGACCCTGAACTACTTTCCATCCCTGTGTGAGTCATGATGGAACCTTGACCATGCTGTGCAATCATCCTTTCTCTCTTGAGACTGAATTTGGAATCCAAATGGATACTTGCTTTCTGCCTTTGGTAGAGTCAAGGCAATATACACCTGTGCTGATGGTGCCAAGTTCAGTCATATCCCCAGGACTGATCTGGTAAAGCTGATCCTCAGGGCAAGAGAAGCTTGAAGTCGATGCTCAGAAGCAGGGGGAGAAGTCTCCTGGGCTGGGATGGAGGGAGAGACCTAACTTCCCAAAGGCTTTCCAGTGAGGTTGGCTATGGAAGACTGGTGTGCAGCTCCATCTCATTTAAATGGCAGCACCAAGGACAGATTATTGATTGACATTGTACAAAGACAGCCTGTCACCTCTGCTTCTCAGCTAAACTCTGTTTTATAAGGAATCCCCAAAGAACTGTGCCTGGGCCCATTGATTAAGTGGACGGTAGCAGGCCAAACTCTTCTGCTACCGTCCACTTAAACAATTTGCCCCAGAAATGTGAAATACAAGTTCCACTGTGCCCAGACTGAACCAAATTTTCTCACTTCTATTTTATAAATCCTATTTATCTCACTCTCTCATGTGTGAGCAAACAGTCAGCATGGAAAATGATGAAACTAGCTGCAGAGTCCTTCCCTACATGTCTCTGGATTATTCTGGAACATCAACTCCTTTCCCTTGATGGTCCCTGGGCTCCTGCTAGCCTGATGATGTTTCTGTCACATTGCCAAGCAGTCCCTCAGACACATCCTCTCCCCCAGCCTCCATGTGTAGGGAAGAGGAAAAGAATGAGAGTTCTTGTCTTGGAACAGTGACTGTTTAATGTGGGATGCATCTGAGGAGCAGTGGAAAGATGCAGACTACTGGGTTATACACACCCAGATATTAATTCATTTGAGAAATTGGCATTTTTAGCCAAACACTGGGCTTTTTTTTTTTTTTTTTTTTTTTTTTTTTTTTTACTGATGGTCCAAGGATTTTAATTTGAAAACATTGCCCTACAGGAGAGAATTCTGACAATAGAGGCGGTGGAGGTGTGTCTGTGTGTGCGTAGATGTGTTTGCCTGTGTGTGAAGGGGTTTGCTTTTTTTGACATCAGAAGGGCATTCCTGATCTCCTTTAAAGTCACTCATTACCAAACTGATCTGTAGTAATTGATTTATTGCCAGTTGTGCCTGGTAGCCTAGCCCAGGCCCTTAGATGAGGAGAAATGGCTGGTGTTAGGAGTGTCTTTGTGTCTTTGACCAAGTAAAGAGATATGGACCCCAGTACCTGATAAACAACAGAAAGCCTTTTGCAAATACATGAATAAGAGCAGGCAGGGACTAACCACAAAATGGTGATTGAAAGCCCTCAGGACTTGCTTCACACAATTATCAACAATTCGCATATCATTGATTTTTAGAATCAGTGGGTTAAGGCAGGGTTTTTCAAACTCAGCAGTATTGACATCCTGGGCTGGATAATTCTTTGCTTGGGGGTAGGGGTGGGGCTGGAGGATGCTTAATGGCATCCTTGGCCCTGCCCACCACATGCCCTCAGTCCCCCAGGCCTTAGCTGAGACAATCAACACATTCTCTGCAGTTAAATGTTTTCTGAGGAACCAAATGTCCCTGGGGTTTGGAATTGAGAACCTGGTGTAAGACAGGGAGGGGACAAAGAGCCCCATCTCTATGTCCTTTATCAGTTTCACTTTGTCTAAAATTGTCCTTCAGGGTAAAAGCAAAACTATATACAAGCAGAAGTGGTAGTAATAATGCTTCTCATTTAAAAACACAAGGTTTTACTAGATGTACCGGTTAATAATGCAGATGTTTTTAATCAAAGAAAACATGATAATTTCAAGAGAAACATCAAAAGTGCTTTATTCAAAGTAATGTCCATCGCTAGCTACACATTTCCCACATCTTTCGGAAAATGTGTAGCTAGCGATGGACATTTATTTATTACCTGTCCCAATAGAACGTTTCTTGTTTTGAGGCAAACCATTCAGAGACCCAATTTTCTGCTTCTTCATACATTTTGAAGTGCTGCTCAGAAAATGAGTGTGCCATCCATCAGAACAAGTGGTAATCTGAAGGAGCAAGGTCTGGTGAATACAGGAGGTAGGTTAATACTTTCTAGGCAAGATCTTTTAACATGTCTTTAACAGGTTTTGAAGTGTGTAATGGTGTGTTATCATGAAGCAAAATTACTTTGCCATGTCTTCTGGCACATTTTGGTCATTTTATGATCAAAGAGTGGTTCAAATTGATTATTTGTTGTCAGTAGCTATTAGTACTAATGGTTTCACCTGGTTTTAGAAGCTCATAATACACCACACCTTCCTGATCTGACCAAACGCAAGCATTGTCTTCTTTCCGAACCTATTTGGCCTTGCAGTCAACGTTGATGGTTGACCTGAATCAACCTATGATTTTGTGCATTTGGGATTCTCAAAATAAATCCACTTTTCATCGCCAGTCACAATTCGATGCAAAAAAGACTTCCTTTCGTGCCACTGAAGCAACATTTTACTGACGACTTTTCGGTTTTTCGTTCGTCTTTTGTTCAGTTGATGTGGCACCCGTTCTCCTTCCTTTAAAACCTTGTAAATGATCAGAAATTGCTTGTTGAGCAACGTTGAATCTTTCAAGTTGTTTTTGAGTTTGACATACATCTTCATCCAATATTACTTATAATTGTTGGTCTTCAAATTTTTTTGGCTGACCTGGACATTCTTTGTCTTTCACTTCGAAATAATCACTTTTAAAGCATTTAAACCAGCATTCACAAGTACCTTGAGATAGAGCATGCTCACCATAAACTTCCTGAAGTATACTATAACTTTCAGCAGCACTTTTTTTTCCAAAATAAAGCAATGAATTAAAACTTCCTGCAAATGCTCTTTTTTTTTTGCATGAAATTCAACATTTTTAAGTGTAAAAATATCTATAATGTTAACACCTTCATAAAATTTGACATATGAAGTTTTTAAGCTTGTTGTCAATACAACAAAATAGCATAAATATCAGATCGCATATATGTCAACATATGTGAAACTCCATCTATTGAAAAAAAAATCTGCATTATTAACCAGTACACCTAGTAGTGGACTTCTGGGGAAACTTCTGTTCTCAAAACTTGACTTTGGTATTTTAAAAGTTTTAAAAATCTGGTTACTGTCAGACAGGCTCCTGTAGAGCTGGATCAACAAACTAAAGGAAGACTCCCAGCCACATCTTCATTAGCAGCTCTGCCGGCAAAATCCCTGTCACTTTGAGATGCTGTGCATTCAAAGCAATTGTAGAAAAAGTATTTCCACATTCTACTGCCTGCTTTAAGTCTGTGGTTTTGTCTTTATTATAGGTGTGGCTTTTGACTGCTGGTCAATTGTGCAAAACAAAACAAACAAACAAAACAGAAAAAAAATTTGCAGCTTAAGTTTGGTGTCTGTTTCTGAATCATCACAGCTGCTCTCTCCCCAAATGCTGGGGCAAACACTGGTTCTAACAGAGCTGGTTCACTATATTATGCATCTCATCTTGTAATTGGTTCAGGAAATCCGTATCTGAGCTCTCAGCCAAAATCATTTGAAGGAAGGGCCGGGCAAAGGGGGGATTAATGAGATCACCCGCAGATTCACACGCCTGCGTTCTCTGCAAGCCCGTGGGCTAGAGATCTGCACGTGCTCAGTTGCTGAATGAACCGCAGCCAGTTCTTGGACATCTTTACCCCGGCTAGTAAGAGATAATCAATACAACAGGTCATCAACAAAAGATTTCAGTCCAGGGATGTCAATGTAGTATCTTGGTTTGTTTTAATTGCTTGCACTTTATCCCTCTATAAAACAATGGTGTATAAACCTTAGGCTCTGAGGCTTAGAACTTGAAGTTATCTTAAGACACAGAATTCTTGCAGAAATTCTCTTTATCATGTTACTGATGTTCTAGTCTTAGGTGGCACTTGAGTGAAGTCACTCCAAGACACAGCTCCAACCACCGATCCTATGGAAACAAGCTTCTGAGAGAGAATGAGCTCCTGATTTTGCTCTTTAGAAGCTTATGATTTTTTTCCTCTTCTGACATAAAATAAGGGTGATAATCCATGTTCTTATTCAACATACACTCAACATAAAGTTCTAGGCTCTGGACTAGCTGTTAAAGAATTAAAAAGAAGAAGGAGGGGAAGGAAGAAAGGGAGGGAGGGAAGGAAGCAGGCCCTGCCTTGGGAAATCCAGTGTCATCTCTGTTTTAAGTGGTGTGGCTGGTAGTTTGGTTGAAAAATATGCAAATAAAAAAGCCAGATTTTCATAAATGCTTTGAAATCACAAGTAAAATCTCATGTAGATTTAAGATCTTAGTATATAACAGAAAATCCCCAGAGCAATAGTCTGTACTGTTCTTCTTTTACATAAAATAAGATACTGCTCCAGGATTCTGAATTTAGCAGCTGTTGGTGTATGTGTCTCTTGCCACATTCATAAAGGTTTTTAATGTACAATAACATAACATATAGCTCATCCCTTCTACGGTAAGATGCATTATTTATAACTAACTTTTTATCATCTTCACATGTTGAAGGAGCAATAAATAATCTCAGCTATCCATTTTTAGTTCCCAGAAAACAAGATTCTCTTCATTTTTCTTTTTTTTAAATTTTAATTTGTTGATTTCAAAGAGAGGAAGAGAGAGAAATATGAATTTGTTGTTCCACCTATTTATGCATTCACTGGTTACTTCTTGTGATCCAGGATCAAACCTTGGTACAAAGGGACGATGCTCCAATCTACTGAGCTGCCTGGCCAGGACCTCTCTTCATTTTTCATAGTGCCATTTGCCACCCACCCTTTCTGCCTGCGATTAGCATTGGTCAACTGTAGCTCCTGTTTTATTTCAACACACTTATAACTGGGAGACGATGCTGCTCAATGTGAATTAGCCTAAAAGCTCACCTGAAAATGCTGGATGTAAGCTGCATCCCACAGCTTCAGCACTCATGCAAGAGGCAAAACCAAAAGGCCTCAATGTCTGTACCTGAATCCATTCATCTGTAAAGTGAAAATGGACAGATTGATGTTAATAAATCTGAAAATAAAGATGGGATGGAAGTTAAAATATTCTCCTGCCCGATGTTAGTACTCATGATAATCTCCATGATTCATTCACCTTGCCTTAGTGTCATGGGAGATTTGAGATCCTCAAGATAAAAGAACGCCATCCATACATTTTGTTCTTGAAAAAGTCTGCATACTTACTCACTCTGTCTATAGCACTAATTCCTAGGCAGGCAGTTTCCAAAGCACCTCTTTGCAGAAAATTATAGGAATCTCTGCGTTCCCCCAACTCCATGCTTCCATAACCGAGGTTGGAAGCCATGAGTCATCTTCCTGGATCGTGGGCCACATAGGGGGACAAGCCAGACTTGGAAGTATGTTTCTGGAGTTCAGAGGAAAACTCATGCTTCAGAATGAATGTCAGGGGAGGAGACCGTGCTCCACGTGGAGCCCACTGTTAACGGTTCGACTCATTTCAAACACAGATACAGCACTTACAGAGGGGATGGGTGACTGCTTGGACATTGAAGGAGCTTTGCACAGAGCACAGGAGTCAGTCAGGTAACATTAAGCATAAAACAAATGTTCTAATAAGGGCTGACTATAGATCCAAATCACAAAGTGCTTGAGTCTCATTCTGGTTAGGGAAGCCTAGGAGGTATTTAGAGAGGAATTTAAGCATCTGAGCTAAGACGAGAATGATTATAAGAATCTCAATAGACAAATTTCAACTGGTAAGTGAGGGTGGTGGGCAGATGATGATGCTGTGCAAGGAGGAACAGGATAAGCATCATTATCAAGGGCCAAAGCAAAAGCAACTTTGGCCATTTGGACCTTGGTGGGGTCCCCAAGGGAATAAAATAGAAGAATGAGGAAGTAGAGGCCATTTTTCACCTCCAAGGTAAATTATTGAAATTTATTCTCCTAGCAATTGTCTTTTGTTTGGTTTTACCAGGAAGTGATCTAAGCAAGGCACTCATTTTTTTTTTTTTTAAATGGGATGGGCTTGTTCATTTGCAACTCTTCATATTTCCCTGTGTTCTTATTATTGCTTTTATTTGTGATAGTTGAGGTCAGATCTCGGGTTGGTTTACATGGAAATATAACCTCTGACACCTGTGAGAAGTTCAATAGGTCGAGTACAACAGGATTCACAGTTGCTTTAGGATTCGCTAACCCTAGAATTGAGTACGTGTCATAGTAACCAAGGGACTCCGTCTTCACCTGCCATGGGTCTTTACTCTAGTTCCATTTTTTTTTTAATAAGAAGGAGGCTCCTTCCACCTGTTTGTCACGCACCTATCCATATCTATGCTGCCGGAAAAATTATTGCAATCCATAAAGCTAGTGAATATTTTTTTGGTTCCCCCTGATCTTTAGCATCTGTGCCCCTGAAGTCCCTCTCACATCACTCTGGTACACTCATTTTGCTTTCCTATGTGACAGCAACTTCGGCCAGACTGCCTGTCATCACTCCCGGCCTCAGCCCCAGCTCTTCCTAAAGGGGTGATGGCAGACACCCACCGCTTCACCCCTCCAGCCCCGCTTCTCCTATGTGTCCTCCTGCCCAGAGCTCCCTCCATCTTCCTCCCACCCCCGGCCCTGTTACAGTGGTCCTCGCCCCATAACCAAAGGGACTGGGCGGGCGGGCGAAAACTTCAGATGCTCACACACCTCCAAGTCCCGGCTTGGAGATCCCATGGTCCCAGAGCTCCCCGCAGCCCCGGCGACCAGGAACACGCGGGCCCCGAGCCCCGCCCGATTGGACGGGAGAGCGCTCGGCCCCGCCCAGGCACCGCCGTCGCCTGTTCCTGTCCCGCCCCCAGCCCGGCATCCCCATCACCCAGTCTCTCTGGCCCCGCCCCGCCAAGAGTCTCCGTCCATCCCGAGGCTCCGCCCATCCCAGACTTGTCCCCAGGCCCCGCCCAGGCCCCGCCCCTGTCTGGTCCCGCCCCGCCCCCGTCCCCGTAGCTGTCTCTCGCCCTCCCCGGGCCGCGCGGCCGGAGCTGGCACGGAGGAGCGGCGGCGGCGGCGGCGGCGGCTTCGGGCATCGCGGCTTGGGGAGCTGGCGCTCCGCCGGACACGGCGCCCCCGCCAGCGCCCTCCGCGCGCGCGGACCTGCCTCCCGCGGTCCCGGGCGGCCCGGGGCGTCCGGCGTCCCCCAAGGGCAAGCGTGTCCGCGCGGGGCGGGGGACCAGCGCGGGGCTGCAGCCTGTTGGAGCTCGGGGAGCGCGGGGCCCGGGGTCCGGGGCTCAGGGACCCCGCGCGGAGCCGCACGGCCCGGCCTCCTGCGCACAGCAGTTCCCTCCAACTCCCCCCCTCCGCCGCGTTGGGGCCCAGCGCTGTCGGAGGACCCCGTCCGGATCTGCGAAGGTGAGTAGACTTGACCATTGAGGGGTCTTCTGTCCCCTCATCACCGCCAGAGATAGGGGAGCGGGAAGCGCAGAATGGGGGCGGCATGTTCCTAGGAAGCGCATTAAAAAAAAAAAAAATGCAACAGGCGGGGCCGGGCAGGAAAACTCCTCGGGTTAACGTTTCCCGCGGAGAGGAGACTTGTCCAGGACTGAAACTTGGGTAGGTTCTTCCCATCCCAAGACTCGCAGGGACTCCTGAAGTCTGGCTCTGAGCTCCCTCTGCTGGCTCCTTGCGAGGATGGAAACCGAGGCTACAGGTGAGAGGTGGGAGCGGAACTGCCTGCCCTTCTTGGCTCCCACACATTGTCATGCTTTCTCCTTTGAAGAAAGTGGTCCCTTACTGGGGCACCTTCTGATCCCATGAAAGCTAAACCCTCAAACGGAATCTAATAACGGTCCTTGCAACTTTTGCTTTTTGTCACCGAGTCGTTTGTGCCTGAAACAACAACAACCATAGCAGGACTCACTGGGTAAACTGCATTTGAATAAAAACATTATATTTATTTTACATTTTAAATTAAATCTATTGGGGTGACATTGCTTAATAAAGCTATATAGGTTTCTAGTGTACAATTCTATGATACATCATCTGTATATTGGCTGGTGTGCCTAAAAGCCAGAGTCAAATCTCCTTCCCTTAGTCACCCCTCCACCCCTCATTACCCCTCACCCCCTTAAAAAATTTTAAATAGCTAAAGCCAGCTACAGTTAAAATAAATACCATCGGGCAAAGTTATATCTTGTAGCTGCTTGTCATCTGCCACTATTCTTTGTTATCCTAATGCGTGCATTTAAAAGTATAATAGTAATTAAAAAAAAGATCTCTTGAATTAACTTAGGTTGTATTTAATAACAGATTTTATTGTGATTCTGAAATTTCTGTCCAGTACATGAATTGTGATATCAATTTATAGCCACTCCCAGCATGCTTGTAGCCTCAGAGAATTTCTTTGTGCTTTTTTTTTTTTCTCTCCTCCCAGAAAGGAATGTCATGAAAAAGGAACAGAAAAGAGCCATCATTGTTGGTGAAAGGGGAGTGTTCTTTCCCAGCTGGTGGTTGCTTCATGATTGGAAGAGAAGTACCTAGGTGGCAGAAGAGATTAGATTCTTCTAGCTGTACAGATGGAGCTGATAAAAGAAGACGTGGAAATGCTTCCTCTGGGGCATAATAGACTGATAAGCAAGAGGGCCTGAAAAAGACAGATTTGAAATGAGGACAGGAATTTTGAGATTTTTTAAAACCAGGTAGGACTTTGGACACTTGTTGAGGATGTTTTTCTCCCAAAAACGAAGAATAAAAATTCTCAAAGTCAGAAATGTAAAAAGCTGAGACGAAAAACAACCGAGTCTACCCCAAGGATTTCAGTACTTCGTCACTTTCTTTGGGTAGACACACACACAAGGGCATCACTCACGTCTGGGGATTTTATTTCCTGCGATGGTTTCCTGTGCTAGGAATGGCTTAATTTGGAATTTAGAGTGGTTTTTTTTTCCTACCTTTTTGTTTTTCTTTTGATACAATGTGTGTTTTGATACTTCATGTTAAATTTATGCAAAGGAGATAAATCCTAAAGTCATAGTATGTTTGACTCTCTATATCACTGTTTGCTCTGTGATATGGAAAAACTAGAGGATTTAACATTCCTTGAAGTTTTGTTGGAAGCAAAACTGCATTAGAGACACAGATATACAGTGTAAGTTTTCTCTTTTTGGCAATCGTATTTGCTTTGAAGGAGCCAACTATCAGCTGGATTTCACAGCATAAGCGATTTATAGTCTTTGTTTTATCAAGGCCTTAAATGGGTGTTTTATACTGAGCAGATGGGAACCACATTGAGCGCTCTGTTTGACATGATTGCCTAAGGAAGGGAACTCCCTGATGGATCATGGCGTTAATGTTTACAGGACATTTCTTATTTTTAGCATTAGTGATGTTTGCTTTCTCTACTTTTGAGGAATCTGTAAGCAATTACTCTGACTGGGCAGTTTTTGCAGATGATATAGATCAGTTTAAGACACAGAAAGTGCAAGATTTCAGATCCAACCAAAAGCAGAAAAAAAGTATGCTTCATCCAAGTTTATATTTCGATGCGGGAGAGATTCAAGCAATGAGACAAAAGTCTCGCACAAGCCATTTGCACCTTTTTAGAGCTATCAGAAATGCAGTGACAGTTATGCTGTCCAACCCAACATACTACCTACCTCCACCCAAGCATGCTGACTTTGCTGCCAAGTGGAATGAAATTTATGGTAACAATCTGCCTCCTTTAGCTTTGTACTGTTTGCTATGCCCAGAAGACAAAGTTGCCTTTGAATTTGTCTTGGAATATATGGACAGGATGGTTGGCTACAAAGACTGGCTAGTTGAGAATGCACCAGGGGATGAGGTCCCAGTTGGCCATTCCTTAACAGGCTTTGCCACAGCCTTTGACTTTTTATATAACTTCCTAGATGCTCACCGAAGACAGAAATACCTGGAAAAAATATGGGTGGTTACCGAGGAAATGTACGAGTATTCCAAGGTCCGATCATGGGGCAAACAACTTCTTCATAACCACCAAGCTACTAATATGATAGCACTGCTCACCGGGGCTTTGGTGACGGGGGCAGAAAAAGATTCTAAAGTAAATTTATGGAAGCAAGTTGTTGTAGATGTGATGGAAAAGACCATGTTTCTATTGAATCATATTGTCGATGGTTCTTTGGATGAAGGTGTGGCGTATGGAAGCTACACGGCTAAATCAGTCACGCAGTATGTGTTTCTGGCCCAGCGCCATTTTAATATCAACAACTTGGATAATAACTGGTTAAAAATGCACTTTTGGTTCTATTATGCCACCCTTTTACCGGGCTTCCAAAGAACTGTGGGCATAGCAGATTCCAATTATAATTGGTTTTATGGTCCAGAGAGCCAGCTGGTTTTCTTGGATAAGTTCATCTTAAAGAATGGAGCTGGGAACTGGTTAGCTCAGCAGATTAGAAGGCACCGACCTAAAGATGGACCGATGGTCCCCTCCACTGCCCAGAGGTGGAGCACTCTTCACACTGAATACATCTGGTATGATCCCCAGCTCACCCCACAGCCTCCCACTGAATATGGTACGGCAAAAATGCACACCTTCCCTAACTGGGGTGTTGTCACGTATGGGGCTGGGTTGCCAAATACCCAGACTAATACCTTTGTGTCTTTTAAGTCTGGGAAACTTGGAGGTCGAGCTGTGTATGACATAGTTCACTTTCAGCCATACTCCTGGATTGATGGGTGGCGAAGCTTCAACCCAGGACATGAGCACCCAGACCAGAACTCGTTTACTTTTGCTCCCAATGGTCAAGTATTCGTTTCCGAAGCTCTCTATGGACCCAAGTTGAGCCACCTCAACAACGTGTTAGTGTTTGCACCGTCACCCACGAGCCAATGTAACAAGCCCTGGGAAGGGCAGCTGGGAGAATGTGCACAGTGGCTCAAATGGACCAACGAGGAGGTTGGTGACGCAGCAGGGGAAATCATCACTGCCTCTCAGCATGGGGAGATGATTTTTGTGAGCGGGGAAGCAGTATCTGCTTACTCTTCAGCAATGAAACTGAAAAGCGTGTACCGCGCTTTGCTTCTCCTAAATTCTCAAACCTTGCTAGTTGTCGATCACATTGAGAAGCAAGATGATTCTCCGATAAAATCTGTCAGTGCCTTCTTTCATAACCTGGATATTGATTTTAAGTACATCCCCTACAGGTTTATGAACAAGTATAATGGCGCCATGATGGACGTGTGGGATGCACACTACAAAATGTTTTGGTTTGATCACCATGGCAGTAGCCCCGTTGCAAGTATACAGGAAGCAGAGCAAGCTGCCGAATTTAAGAAGCGGTGGACCCAGTTTGTTAACGTCACATTTCAGATGGAATCCACAATCACAAGAATCGCATATGTCTTTTATGGGCCGTATGTCAATGTTTCCAGCTGCAGATTTACTGATAACTCCAACTCCGGTCTTCAGATTTCTCTCAACGTCAATAATACTGAACATGTTATCTCCATTGTAACTGACTACTACAACCTGAACACGAGATTCAACTACCTGGGATTTGGTGGCTTTGCCAATGTGGCTGATCAGGGCCAAATCACCCGATTCGGTTTGGGCTCTCAAGCGATCGTAAGGCCCGTAAGACAGGATAAAGTTATGTTCCCCTTTGGATTTAAATTTAATATAGCAATCGGGTTGATTTTGTGCATCAGCTTGTTGATTTTAACTTTTCAGTGGCGGTTTTACCTGTCTTTTAGAAAGCTGATGCGGTGGATTCTAATCCTTGTTGTTGTCTTGTGGTTTATTGAGCTCCTGGATGTGTGGAGCACGTGCACTCAGCCCATCTGTGCAAAATGGGCAAGGACGGAGATGGAGGCCAGCGCCAAGTCTGTGTCTTCCCAAGGGCACCACATTGATCGTCCTGATGTTGTCATTACCTCACTTCCTGGTTCAGGAGCTGAAATTCTCAAACAACTATTTTTCAACAGCAGTGATTTCCTCTACATCAGGGTTCCCACAGCATACATTGATATCCCTGAAACTGAATTTGAAATTGAGTCCTTTGTAGATGCCTGCGAATGGAAGGCATCAGATATCCACAGCGTGCATTTCCGCCTGCTCCGAGGCTGGCTGCAGTCTTTAGTCCAAGATACAAAACTGCATTTGCAGAACATCCATCTGCATGAATCCAGCAGAGGTAAACTGGCCCAATATTTTCCAGTGAATAAGGACAAGAAAAGAAAATCGAAGAGAAGAGAGTCTTTGTCGGAACAAAGAAGTAGAATGAGAGGCGCCTTTGATAGAGACGCTGAATACATTAGGGCTTTGAGGAGACACCTGGTTTACTTCCCGAGCGCACGGCCTGTGCTCAGTCTAAGCAGTGGGAGCTGGACCTTAAAGCTTCATTTTTTCCAGGAGGTTTTGGGATCTTCGCTGAGGGCATTGTATGTAGTAAGGGACCCTCGGGCGTGGGTTTATTCAATGCTGTACAGTAGCAAACCAAGTCTGTACTCTCTGAAGAACATACCAGAGCGCTTAGCCAAACTGTTTAAAGTAGAGGGAGATAAAGGCAGATGTAGCTTACATTCCGGCTATGCTCCGGAGTATGAATCATTAAGGAAAGAATTATCAAAACCCAAGGCTAGCGCAGTCTCCCTGTTGTCTCATTTGTGGCTGGCACACACAGCAGCAGCCCTGAGAATAAACTCGGATTTGCTACCTACCAGCTACCAGCTGGTCAAGTTTGAAGACATTGTGCATTTCCCCCAGAAAACCACCGAAAGGATTTTCGCCTTCCTTGGCATCCCTTTGTCTCCTGCTAGTTTAAACCAAATATTGTTTGCCACTTCCACGAACCTTTTCAATCTTCCCTACGAAGGGGAAATATCACCAAGTAATAGTAATGTTTGGAAACAAAACTTGTCTCGAGATAAAATTAAACAGATTGAAAACATCTGCTGGACACTGATGGACCGTCTAGGATATCCAAAGTTAATGGACTGAGCTGCGGGTCAGCAGGAATTTGCACTAATATGTTCCAACCCAGTTTGTGGACATGGATTAGAAGAGTTTGCTTATTCTTGTACTTGTGTGTGTGTGTGTGTGTGTGTGTGTGTGTGTGTGTGTGAGAGAGAGAGAGAGAGAGAGAGAGAGAGAGAGAGAGAGAGAGAGAAGAGAATGTGTGTGTTCAGTTAATTGCACAGAGAGATAATTTTAAAAATAGACACCGTATTTGGCAGAGCACGATTTAATTTTTATGTTACTACTTTCTTGCCTTTGTTTCTGAATTGTTTTCTGCTAAAATGCTTCCACTACAGAGGTGTAGATGAAGTTCTGTTGTGGTCAGGAAAAGTAGGAAGACTTTTAAAGTTTTTGTCTTAACTCTCTTCATCTGCAACTGTGCTGATGTGTCCTGGAACCTCAAAGGCTGCTCAAGGCCTTCCGTTGTTGTTTTACCCAGGCATCTCTTGCTTTCAAGATGGATTACAGAAGTTCCTTAGCTTTTTATAAAAGGTCTTCTAACATGTTTATCCCGCACAAGAAAATAAATCCTTTACTGTGTATGATGTTTAGTGATATCACTGGGGAAATGGTGGAAACTTCTATCTGAACTATGGGGCTATAGGGTTCCTTCTATAAAATACAGATGGATATACAGAATGAATGTGGTGTGTTTTTGTTTGTTTTTTTGCAGATCAGAAACTGACCTAAACAGCCTTCTTAATGCTTTCTACTTTGAAGTAATGGAATCAGCCTTTGTATAATCTGGGTGCCAAGGGCTGGTGGAGTATTTTCGACCTGCTTGTCTGTGTAAAACTCCTTTCTTTGTATTGCCTCCTTGAAACCACAGCTGCTAGCATCACACCACTCCCATCCTGTCTCTCTCTCTCTCTTTTTTTTTTTTGTCACTGTCGTGCAAAATCAGTCGCATTTACTGATGGTTAAACTCCTTGTGTTTTCGGGATGTTTTCCCTCTGATGATTAATTTTGCATTAAAACCTAACCCAGATTTATAATGAAACTTCTTTTTGTGGAATTATCGCCGTATGACTCAAAGGAAGCTGAGCCACCACAGGCTGCATTTTGTTTTTGTTTTTTTAGACTGGAAGCAGAGTTGGAAAACTGCCTGACTTGTCTCACATCCTTTGAATGAGTTTACAGACTGCCAGTGTGGACAAATGGGGGATGATGTCAGAAGCATCTGTTTCCTTCACCATCTGCATCTTATTATAAATGTAGTCGTCATCGAATGCGGCTCATTTTCTTTTGGTAGGCACTGAAATCCAAATGCTGTGCCAGTACAAGCCAGTGGAGTAATTACAACGTACTGGGTGAAAACTATTAGGCAGTGTGGAGACTTGATGAAATCTCTGTACAGATTGCAGTCTTCTTCCTGATGTTGCAAACTGTCGTTTCCCCCAAGCTCTCTAGCACTTGGGAGTCTGTTGTTCTGACCTAGATAAAAGTGGTTCTTTCTCAGTAGTTTGTTATTGTGTCAGAATGTGCCTGTAGAGTGATAAAGCTGTGGATATGTTCTATTCCAGCAAAACCTCACTTGGCTGTCATTTCCCCCGATATAGTGTGAATGAATGCAGGCCACTCCTACTCCTCTTATATTGACTTTCTTCCCGGAGCTCCCATGACTTTTTCTCTACAATGTCAAAATGAATGAAAGTGCTATTAACGTAGGTTGAGAGGGCAACCGAAGACCTGAATCTACACTGTTATTGCCGAGGAAGACGATAACCTTCCTATTTGAGGGTTATCAACAGGCATGTAAAATTGCTACACAGATGTTAACACTATTTTCATAGTTGGTCCGAGTGTCACTGTTTGCTTTCATTTCCCAGGATATGGGATCTCAAATGAGATCCATTATAAAGGCTTTGGGTTGGCAGTAATATTAGGTCTGATCAAGGTAAGAATTAGACATGTGTAGGTAACAAATAAGAAAATGGAAGCTTTTCTTTAAAATTTTATAGAAATGTGCCCATGGGCAGAAGAGAGCCAGGTTCATTATGTGGAGGAAAGAAGGGGAAAATGAAAAAGAGTAGTTTTGTGAATGAATGAATATGGAAACGTTATTGATAGCTGATGAAAGTGACATGGTTAATAAAATGAGCTTCACAGTGCACCATCTTTCCAGCAATGTCAAGGTGAATTTTCCTGTCCCTGTACTCACCCACTCCTGCCCCAAGGGAAAGTTTGCTGAAGGGGAACACCTACTTGCAGCTTCTCCTGTAGAAATATTTTATGTGGAGACGCATTGAACATGCATGCATATGTTCATATATTCATGCTTGGAGACCCCTGCCTTGTCATCTCAATACCTAAGGTGACTGACTCTCCAAACACCCAGGTCCTACACTCTTAGGGTGCTACCTAGGAAAAAATTCAACCAGACTCTACACTTATTCTTAATCATCTTAAAAATAAAACAGCAATGATCACTATGTGACTCTTTCAAAGGAAACTAAATGTTATCTCTATAAATTCAATTCCTTCATTAACTTCCCCAAACTTCTGCCCGAGATAAAAGCTTTTATTAAAATAAGAGCATTTAAGTCTTGAAACTTTGAAAGAATGTGTTCTGCTGACACAAGTAACATAAGTAAATATAGTGACAATAATCTGTTTTTCCAAAGTGAAATAATGTTAATTATTCATTTTGGATGGAATATGCTCTACCCAGAGTTGAATTTACTGTAATAAAAATTCCAGGAAGGATAAGAAATGGGAGAATCTGTTAAAAAAAAAAAAAAAAAAAAAAAAAAAAAAAAAAAGTAAATCTATGTGGCTTAATTTATATAAACCTGGAGAAGCACAAGTTTTAAGCAGATGACACAAAAATGCATACATATTAGGCCCAGATCCCATATATTAGACATTTGATTGACATTTTAGACAGGAAGAAGTAGTAAGTGCCTGCCAAGAATGGATGTTAGGTCAAATTCCCAGCATGGAAGAGGACTGGCCACATAACCCTCTGAAAGTATTCAAACAAGGTCTCCACACACACAAGTATGCTTTAATTGCTTCTTCTGGCCACTTGTAATTTATGTCATTTATCAGTAGAGTTTGGGGTGCATCATCATAGATTCTAGACAGTCCTGATATATAAAGTATATCACATTAAATTTTCTATGAGTATTAACAATGACTTAAAAATTGCTATGTTTGATCATAAACCATTTTTTTTTGAAACTATATATATAACAAGACTCTTACTAAGTAAATAAAAAGCTAAAAGCAAGTTGGCTGTGGTTGGGAGAGTTTGTAATAGCCCTCTTCTTTAGGTCTTGGGTAACTTAGAATTCCTTATGAAGCTGAGAAGGCAGACAATGGGAAATACAATTGCATATTGACATATCGTCCTACACTTTCAGCCACTAAACTTGCGCCATTTAAGGATGGGCAATCCTTGCCTCTACTCTTTTAATTTAATTCCAAGTTCTGTCTCTGACTTCCACTGTCTTCTGCATACATCTTCCCAACTTACTAAATGGCAAGAACATCCCTGCACTATGTACTTGTACTCTCAATCTGTCCCTGCTGCCACTAGTAAGGTCTTTCGGTATGATCTTTCTAAAAAGAGGTTCTTGCAGGTTGCTTGAGATATTCTAAGTCAGTGATGCATGAGGTTGGCTCAGGGAAGACTTTTTTTTTTTTTTTTTTTTTTTTTAAAGAGATGTAGCATCTATCATGAATTAGTTTCAATATGTGCTACAGATTGAACCATAAGTTTTCATGAACCTCACAAGAAATCTATGCGGTACTTATTTTACAGATAAATTTGAAACCCATGTTATCTCCATGGGGAATATGCTTTGTGAAATGATGTTGAGTGAATTTACAATTTATTCAATGTTTACCATACTTTTTTTTTTGGCTATATCTAGCTATTGATTAATACAAGGGAAGAACACAAAAATTGGTTGACTATGATCCTAGTCTAAGGAATTGGCAATCTCTAGATACTGCAAAATTTATCAAGAAGAGAGGCAGGCAGGTAGAGATGACCACTGGATGAAAGGTGTCAGAAAATCTTATCTGTGCTGTAGTTGACACGGCTTATTTATTTCTGGAACTGCGCTGATGAGAAAAGATTAGTTTAAAGAGGGAGTTTTTGGTAAATTTGGATAGAGTTCACCACCTAATCTTTTCTTATTTAGGCTTTGACTCTGTAGTTGTCATGGCACCTGCTATTGATTACCACAGAGACATGCAAATAGAACAGAAGCACTGACACTTGCCCTCTTCCTATTGCCTTTCACTCAACTTCCCTAGCACATTTACTACAAAGAAACTCAATCCCTCACTGAATACCAATGTCCTGAAGAGCACAAGGTCTGCAGAGTTCATGCTGATGATTGCTGGTAATGACAGGAAGAATAACTCAATGTATTTCATCTTATTCACTTTAATGCCATACATAACAAAGAATTGTCCAAATTAAAAAAATAATCTGTATACAATAATGTTTTCCTGTTAACTCATTTGGCCAAACATATAAATGTCATTCACACATATAAATTGGGTTGGACTAAAAGAACCTTATCCTCTGCTTGGTGCTTTGTACGTTTAGATGCTTTCTGTCTTCCATGTCTGTAGAAGAGAATCCAGGAGCAAATCCCAGAGCCTCCAGCCAGAAACTCAGCCTCCCAATGAAAAGTACCCTCTGCATTGGGACCAAGTGCCACAGACCTGTGAGAGTGGGGCTCATACTCTTGGTAGACAGAGATTCCTTTGCTATGATTGTTTTTTCTTGGATATTGCTATCCACACCCTACTATGGTTCACTTCAGGTGAATTAGAAAACACTATTGTGTTGATCGTAGAGTATGCCAGCTCTGCTGCACCTCTTTATCAAACCATAGGCATTATGGATATGCAAAATAGGTTCCACTAATATGTTGACCCTATCTGGGAAGAGAGAAGCCCTTCTCAGTGATACTGGTCAGTTTCTGTGGCCAGAGGTGGGACTTAGTATCAGAATTCATATACTCACACATTCTATAATCCGGTGCCAAGCATAAAAAATCTGAAAGATACTCTGAGGAATGCACAATTATAATAATTCTGACCTCTCATTAGCACATTCTCCTATTTCCCACCAAGTAACCCAGAGTGAATGTTTATCTTGCATTTTCTGTTAACCATTCTCTGGATTATCTTTATAGCTCTACCACACACATCTCTTCTTATCAACATATTGTAGATTTTTTCATGTTTTGTAACTTTTTGTAAACAGTAACATACTGCATATATTATTGTGCAACTTGCTTTGCTTTGCCCAAAATTTTGTCTGATGCATGTTTATTTTGTAGATATCCACTTATTTTCAACATGGTAGTGTTCCATTATATGCATATGCCACTTTCTGAATATTCCATACTTTATCTTTTATCATGTTGATAGATTTGGGGAATATTTCTAATTTTTGCAAATTCCAACACTGTATAAAAAATTCTCAAGTATGTTCTATATATAAGAAGGTTCTGTGTTTTGTTTGTACACAGAACCTTCCCACCTACTCCCACCCCAGCCTTCTCCCAAGTATTTGTATCCGTGGCTGAAAGCACACCCTTGGCTATTTTAGATGATGCCAAGGTATTATTTCTCAGATTGTCTATACAAATTGATACTCCAGCCATCATAGGAAAGTTTCTGTTCCTGATGTTCTCTTGTACTTGACAGTTTCAGATTATTTAATACTTTCCTGTCTAGGTGTCACATTTTTGTTTTAATTTGCACTGTTCTGATTATTAATGACATATAGCTTATATGCATCTGAGCATGAGCACATTCACATGTATAGTCCTTATTGTTTTCCATCTGTATTTTGTGAAATGAAGTCCATGATCATGTCCGTGTCTTTTATCCATTTTTCAAGTTCATTTTTTCTTATTAATTCATTGAAGTTTATCATATATTAATAATAATAGACTTTTTTTTGTTATATGTGCTGTGAATAACTTTTTGGCTTCTATTTTCATGATCTTTGTACTACAATTTGTGTAATCTATTTTGCTACACAGGTGTCCTTAATTTGAATGTAAGCAAATATGTCAGTGTTTTCTTTTATTATTTATAGTTGTTTTTTTTTGTCTCATTAAAGAATCTTTTCCAGAGTCTTGGCACTAAAAATATCCATCTTCCCTCTAAACCTCTTAATACTTTTATTGGATGTCAATTGCTATATAACAAAATTACCACAAACTTGATGGCTTAAAAACAACACACACTGATGATCTCAGAGTTCCTGTGGGTAGGAACCCATGTGTTCAGAGTCTTTCACAAGGCTGCCATCAGGTTGCTGGCTGGCATCTGACACTCACCTGGAGAAGCATCTGCTTCCCAGCCCCATGATTATTGGCAAGATTCAGTTCCTTGTGGGTTCTTGGACTAAACGCCTTAGTTCTTTTCTAGCCTTTGGCTGAAGACCACGCTCAGTCATGACCACATGGGCTTCTCCATAGGACAATTTACTTCATGAAAGCCAGGATGAGAGTGAATCAGTAGAGAAACTACTAACAATGCTGCTCAATTGGAAGTGACACTCAATAAGCTTTGGTTGGAAGCAAGCCACAGGTCCTCACACCCAAGGGATTACATGAGATCACAAATACCAGGTGTAACAAATGGAAATCATTTTAGAGTCTATCTGCCATAGATTTTTGTCTTTTAATATTTTAGGATTTAATTTGCTTTCTATTCATTGTTGTGTTGATTCTGATTTTTTTTTCTTCTTTGACTAAAAAGATTGAAACCCCTTTTCCCCCCATTACCTTTCAATGCTATCACTACAATATATCAGGCTTTTTATTTTGTATGAATCTATTTCTGAGCTCTCTACTTTATTCCACTGGCAAATTTGATAATGCCACTGACAATACCACATTGTACTATAGTCATTTTGTTAGCCTTGAAATCTGGCAAGGCAAGTCTTTTTATTTTATTTTCCTCATTTTTTCTTAGATTTTTTTAAGCCTTCGTTCTTCCATGTGCATTTTAGACTTAGTTTGCACAGTTTCACAAAGCTTACAAAGTACAATATATGTTCATTGTAAATGCATTAAATCAATTTTGAGAAAATTAACCTCTTTATATTAATTAATCTCTGTTCATGAGCATGGTATGTCACTCCTATATGAAGCTTATTAATCCTTTGATAGATGTCTCTGAGCACTTTATATTGTTATTATAGATGACATTTGTTAATTATATGTTCAATTGTATATAGAAAATACATTTGATTTGTGTGTATTTGTATTGTATCAGGGACCTTATTAATTCTTACTAATTTAATAGTTGGTTTATAAATTTTTTTGAAATAAATGGTTTTGCAACTGTAATTTATAAGAATTATGGTATTTACTTCCTTTTACTAATAACTTTTTAATGTTCTTACTGCATTTGTTAGGACCTCCTGTAAAATATTGGTAGGATTTGATAATAGTGAGTGTTCTTGTATGGTTCCTACATGAAGGCAGTGCTTCCAGATTCCACCACTGAGCAATGGATGCGATGTGAATTTCATAGAATCACCTTATCTGGATGTGATACTCCTTTCTAGTCCTGCTTTGATAAATGACTTTTTATCATCAATGTATAATAGGATTTATTCAGTGCTTCTGATGCATTTATTGTGATATTTGTATGTTTATTTGCTTATATCTGTTAATGTGAAAATATTATCTGTATTATATGAAAAAATATATTTTATTTTGAAATTAAATCAAACTTGGTTGACTATGATTAAATCAGCCTGAGAGTGATTCGTTATATTTGTGTATGTAGCTGGACTGAGTTTGTTAATAATCAACTGAAGATGTTTACATCAACATTTGTCATTTTCTCATACTGTACTGGTCTAATTTTGAAGTCAATATATCTTTCACATAAAATAAGTTGATGATGTTCTATTTTTCTATTTTGTAGAAGTGTTTGTGTAAAGTGATCTAATACTAGAATGTTTCTTACTACTCACTTTTAAAACCAGCTGATAGTTGTTTTTTCTTTGTTTTTCTTTGTTTTATTTTGTTTTTTTTTGTGTGTGAATATTTTGACTATGTGTACAATTTGATGGTGATAGGCTTATTTTATTTAGCTTGCCTATTTAATTTGAAGCCTATTTTGGGCAAGTTATGTTTTTAAAGAAATTTTTCTTATTAAAATTTCCACATTTATTGACCTAAATTTGCTAAAAGGCATTCTGTTGCCCCTCTTATTTACCATCTTTCCCACCCCCTGGGTCATCGCTGCTTGTTTAGCTGTGTCCATATGGGTGTGAAAGAAATGGGAAGCTGGATTGGCCAGATGGTTGTTGTTTGATTGTGAGATGATAGAAGAAAAGAGTGTGAGAACAGTTGTTTGCAGGTACTCCGTACAAAGAAAAAAGAGGCTCATGAGAAACCCAGGAGACACTGTTATAAAGGATTTAGATTCTAGTGGCACCAAAGACTGTTGGAGTGGACATCCTCCCTGGCAAGAATATGTGAAGGAAACAATGCTCAAAGAATATGATCCATGGATTTAGATTATTGAGGCATTGAAATTATTGCTAATAAATCTAGGGCAGCAATTTTAAAACTCTTTTGGGAACACTTTGTACTCTTAAAAATTCTTGAGTGCTCACTAAGCTTCCTTATATGCATGAA